GTTCTAATAGTGTATATGAGAGCGTTCTAATAGTGTATATAGGAAGAAACTAATGCTGTTTACTTTGATAAACATCTTTCAGAGCTGCTTTTTGCAGGGCAGGTTTAAATTGTTTCTTACACAACTGCACATTAATAATCGTTGCTGTGATGCATCTTTGCTCAGCAGCTTCATTCGTTGTAAACCAACCAATCAGCGCACAGCTCATATAAATATTCATGAGCATACCATAAAAGGAAGAAAACATGTTGTTTCAATCTAGGGCTTTTTTTTTTTTTTTTTTTTTTAACAGAGTCCTGTCTGGCAATGTAGCAATAAGAATAATTGCCTTGATGCCAAGAAGAGCCCAACAGATTTTAATTTCACAAGTGGAGCAGTATGGCTATCGCCATAGTGGTCTGCTTGATTTATGCATATACATTTCTTTATTAAAATTATGCAGGGGGCTTTACAGATTTTATGGACCCCGCAATGTAAGTAGAACAGGAAAGGAAAAAACTGAAAAAAAGGAGAAAAGACGAAAGAAAGAGGAGATAAAAGGGAGATAACGATAAAACATCTTATGTCTGCTTCATCACCTGCAAAGAGATGTAAAAAGAACAGCACAACCAACGGACATGTTATGAGATATACAATAAAGTAACACGTAGATACTATCGCTGAAGTATAAGTAGTATTATTTAATCTGACATGTTACTTGAAGATCAGAATATGGGCTTTCTGTATTGAAGTGAATCTCTAAGTACCTGGAACCAAGCACCTGTAGTTCTTTGTGAAAGTGCACTTGTGCATGTAAAGTTTATCCAAAGGAGAAATGCTCAATAGTGGTTGTGAAGAGCCGAAGAGGCATCCTCCCTCAGAGCAACAAGGCCAGTGCCGGGAGACCCAAAGCCCTAGACGCCCAAAAGGACCCCAAGAGCGAAGGCGCCCAGGAGGGGCCAGCCCAGGAAATCCGACCCCCACTAAGGGAGGAGGAGAGATCGCCCCGAGGTAGTCCCCCAGCCTCTGCAATGCCTGAACCCCCGTGAGCAGGGGGAACAAGTCCGCGGGCTCCGCCGGCAGCCAGCCACCCCAAAGTGAATCCGGCCATGGGCCCGAGGTATCCAAGGTATCCAAGGCCCCAGGGGCGTCCCACCCCCCGGCGGGAGCCCCCCCCGGCATGCCAGGCACCGCGGAGAAGCCACCAGGAATAAACCAGTAGCCGCCCGGGCATCCACCCCCAAAACCCGAGCTCCACCAGTGCACCGGCGAGGGCTTTTAACCAGGCTTGCATTAGGGCTCATAGAACATCAGATATGCCACTTTCAGCCCAACCAATGGTACACACCCTATTCAGAGACCTTAAGGACCAGCACCAAATACCCTATATAATCATTCTATGAACCCTTTAAAGTAAAGTAATTAGTAATCTTCAATAACTAAATGAGAATAAAAAGGAATGATTAAAATAAGATGACAATGAAGACATAACGATTGAATGATACCCTGCAGCAAGAAGGTCCTGAAAGTTGGAATCTTGGCCAAGGATCTTTTTGTATAGAATTTGCATGTGTTCTACATGCTTTCTCTTTGAGTAATCAGTTAAATCTATACAAAAAGTCCTTCGGTAGTAGTGTTTGTGACTCCTGACCATTCAAGTCATCACATCTCGCTCATTGAGGGACCCCCCCCCTTTCTGGGTCCTTTGGTCCAAATCGCACTAGGAATCTATGGAAAACAGAAAAATAGATTTTTAAATATATGTTTCCTCTTCTGTAAGTATCTTAAATATATTTTGCCTTTTTATCTTTAGCAAACAAAACTTCCACAGTGGTTTTTAATTTTCTCTGTTTTGCTTCCATCGTTTAAAACAATCAAATTAGATGTTATGATCCAAGAAAATAAAAGGTTTGAGAGAAAAAATTATTTAAAACAAAGAAACTGTAGTTTCATTCCCAACCGCTAGGGGCAGTCGCGGTTTCTACAGACCATCGTTGCTGACTACGTCAAAGAAAAACAGGACGTAATTTCCTGGCCAGCGCAGATGTGCGGAAGGTTGGAGGCAGAAAGGAGTGAAAACAGCGTCAACTGTAATGAGATGGCTTGAACAAATCCCAGTTGTTTTCGGAGGTGAGCGGCTTTATTTAGCTCCGGTTCCGGGCAGTTATTTCCACTGAGTAACGGCCGCCAAGGCGGTATGGCAACCCAGTTGGTTAAAACATGACTTCATTCATTAGCAGCTGTCATTAAACGGGTTACCCAAGCTTTAAACGGCAGCTAGTCAAATAAGGTAACAATTTCTTTACAGTAAAAGTTAATAATTAACTGCTCCCCATTTCAGTCGACGTTAGTCCGTCATTTTAATCAGCTGTCTAACTTTACATTTTACATGTGTCATTACTTTAAAGCATGTTAGCATTAGCTAACGTTGTATGATAGCCATTTTTTTTATTTATTTAAGAGTTTTAATTATTATGTATAACTTACACTAAGTAGAAAATATCAATCCGTGTAGCTTTTTGAGGTCCCTAATTGGATTCTGTTATACTTTCGTTTATGTAATTATCTGGCATTTGGTTATTTGCTTATGTTAGATGAAGCGCTGTGTCTGGCAAAGGGAGTCCACTGCACCCTGGGAATAGAATATCCTCTTCTGATGTCCTAAATTTAAATTTCTATGGAGCTCACTGCACAAACATTCAAAGCGCCACAATATTTAAATCGGTCTAAATATAGTTTGTTCTTTTTCAGATTGAGAGGTATTTGTTTTTATTTTATTTGATCTCATATGTGGAGAAAGTGAGATCACATATTGAGGTTTTGAAGGCACATTGTGGTACAGAATTATGTAGAAAAATAACTGTAAGCGTTTTTCTCTCAATTGTTTTGACTGGAAAGAGCAATGAGGTGAAAGAATTCACCTTTTAATCAAGCCACTCCAATATAACCAAAGATTTCTCAACACATTCTCTTACACATATAATATGTTTTTGTATTTGCTTTTATGAGTAAAGCCAATTGGCAAAAATAAAACCTTTTCTTTCAAGGTGACTCCCTGAGATAGTTTTCCTTGCTTTTATTTCATCTTGATTGGGTTACTTTAATGAGCTCTATTTTGGGTGTGTGCCAGTCTTTGTTGTGTCATCTAATTCTGGCAGGTGTTTGCCTTTTAACTGTGGCTCCAAAATATGATCACATCACTCCTTACCTGGCTTCATTACACTGGCTGCCTGTGCATTTTAGAGTTAATTTTAAAATTCTTATCATAGTTTTAAGTGGTTACATAGCCGTGCTCCATCTTACCTCTCTGATCCTCTTCACCCCTATTTGCTTCCTCAGTCCCTCAGGTCAGCAGCTCCTGCAGGTACTGAGGATTAAGAGGAAGCTCAGAGGGATATGAGCCTCTATCACCGTTCCATGTTTAGTATATAGCCTACCGCTGCAGATTAGGGAGGTTCCTTCAAAGCCAAATTTTAAAACATGGCTCAAAACGTGCTTTAATTCAATGGCTTTTAACACTTAGTTGCTGTAACTTTGATTATTGAGCTTTAACAAATTCATATTATTGCCTTATTTTATATTTTCGTGCTGTATTTTATTATTTTATTATGTTTAGCTATGTTCAGCGCTTTGTTTTCACCTGTAGCTGTTTTAAAGCGCTCTGCAAATAAAGTTGATGATATTTCTTTGTATCTTCAGATCAGGGTAAACGTTTGAGGAGCAGCCATGGCCTGTGCTCGTGTGCCTCTGGATGAGCAACAGGTGACTGAGCCAGGCCCTATAGGAAAGGAGCGCACTCTGCCTGCACTGGTCAGTTCTGTCTTTTGTCTTTGTCTGGAAACATTTGACCTCATGAGGATTTCTTATGTCACACATTTTTGTTTCTGTTCTCCACCAGCACCCTGACAGAAAGGAGGAGCGCTATTTTGTGCCTTATAGACCCCCCCCAGAAAATGGCTCTCCCGCTGAGGTGGAAGAGTTTTTGGAACATGCCAAATTTATAGCAGAAGATATGGAGTGGCTGCTGGCGCTGCCCCACGACAAGTTCTGGTGTCAGGTATGCCACTGCTACAGCTTTGATTTTTGGAGAGAATGAATTCAGAGTGAAATGTCTTTGTTTGTCCTACCAGGTGGTGTTTGATGAATCCCTTCAGAAGTGTCTTGACTCCTACCTGCATCAGGCTCCACGTGGCCTTGACCTTGCCACACTGCCGCTGTCGCCAGCTGTGGCTGATGTGCAGCGCGCCGTCCACAAGGCCATTTTCTTGACCTTCCTCCGGATGGCCACGCATAAAGAATCAAAGGTCCGAGAGTAGTATTTAAGGTACTTATCATGTTACATTCATGGGACGACTTATTCTAAAAAGTACCCTTTATTTCTTTCTACAGGATCACTTCTTCACCCCAGCTGTATTTGGAGAGATTATCTATGACAACTTCCTGTTTGACATTCCTAAAATTCTGGATTTGTGTGTGCTCTTTGGAAAGGGCAACAGCCAGCTGCTTCATAAAATGATTGGTGAGCTGATTGAAAATATCTCCAGTTGGAGCTCCTGCAGCATTGAGTTTGTGATTTGACTTGTTCTGACCTCCTTTCAGAAAACATTTTTACTCAGCAGCCAGCCTACTACAACGACCTGGATGAGACGCTCCCCACAGTGTTACAGGTCGGATTTATAATCCCCTTTGAGAATGTTTGTATTTTTTATGTCTACTGCGGTAATTGTTCATTTTAAAAAAATAAAATACAGGTGTTTGATACCATCCTCGACAAATGTGGTCTTCGGTGTGAAGGAGCCACGGCCATGGAGCCAATGAAGCTGAATGCACAGAAACAGCCCACTGCCATGAGCATGAACCTGGAGGTCAGAGTGATGCACAGCGTCCTTTTACTTCTCTATGCCCTTAGCTTACGCTTGCATTAAAACATAGCCGCAGGATAGACATTTAGAAAAAATACCAATTAGTGATGTCAAGTAAACATTTAAAGACTTAATCTGTGTAGTTTTTGAAAAAAAAAAAAGCCTTTATATTAGCAGGCTGTGCTTTGTCTGCATAAAGCGGCTAAAGGACTCATTTTTCTAACCATGATCATTTGAATCTTCTGTGTAGTTATAAGGTCACCGATATAACAGTTTTATTTCAAGATTTTGCTTCTAAAAATCGTTTGAAGCCATTTCTACACACCTGGAGAAATAACAATCTATAAACAGCAGCTACAATTAAATCTTACTTCTTGTTACTCAGGAAATTAGAGGAAAAAGCCATTAAGCTAAAGCTAATGATCTTAGTTTAAAAGCTGAAGGGAATATGTTGAATTTGAACAGGCGTCAGCAGATGTTTTCTACTGACAGGGGGTAAATAGATGGATGAAGCACATTTTCTTACCTGATAAATTATACTTTAAGAAAACGCCTATATTCGCATCAGTGGTCTGGCTGCTGATTCACTGCTAGAGCTCTTCATCATCATGGCTGTGGCATAAGCTGTCAATTGTCTGTCCTTGTGTTTCACCTCCATGTCAATTTGATTTTATTTTTTTAGCTTTTATTGTCATTACACACTGTCACAAGTACAAAGCAATGATAAATCTTTTCCTCCTTTTTTTCCGTAATACATTTTTAGTAGCTTTTATCTTCATAAAGTATCTTCAGATAAAGCAAGGATGGTCACTCCATCCCTTTTTTTTAACCAAACATTTTGACCCATATTAGGTGATAATGGTGCTTTCTTATTCTGGTTCTTTTGTGCTAAAATATGAAGTGAGAAAATTGCTAATCCATTTTGGAAAAACAGAAGAACCAAAAGTGACTTTATTATTTTATAGTTTATACGTGTTTAAAGCCTGCTGACTCTGAAATGTAATGTTTTTTTCCTCTTTAACTTCTTTGAATTCACATTATATTATATGCAATAATTAGAAAAGAGTTTTATTTCATTATATCCAAATTAAATTAGAAGAGAATTAGCTGAAAAAATGACCTTTTCAATAGAATATTAATCTCTCTGTTGTAAGGTTGGTAGGAAATAGCCTGAGCATCATTTGATTTGATTGCTGCCAGTAATTATGTTTTTTTTCTTTCCACTACAGGAACTTGGAGATATAATTTTGTACCTGTGCGACTCGACCACCACAATACATGCCTTCCTGGACATATTCCCTGCCGCTTGCTCCAGCTTCCACTCCCATGGTTTCCTCAGCAGGTAAGCCGACTGACAGCATCGCTGCTCAGAGCTCACATAGACAAGTCTTTACTGTCCTCTGTTACCAGGCTGCCACCGTTCTACGAGGCTGCAGTGCCAGACTTGGAGAAGGCCATCAAAAAGAGAAACTTTGATGATAAAAGGCGAGCATCCACCTCACAGATTTTATTATAGGAGAAAACTGGGAGTATGCCATCTTCTGGTTAGTAACACACTGAACTCTTACTCGACTGTAGTCTGCAGGAAGACTTGTGGAAAAGGCTGAGTCACTCCTGCAGGAAGATAGTGGAGACATCTCACCTGTTGCTGCACCACACCTGCCTGCAGCCCATCCTGGAAGGGTGAGCGATCACTCTCACCATGCAGCTCAGCTCGGTCCTCATGAGTACATTTGATCATTCTTCTTTGTTCTTTGTTCTAGTCAAGAAAATATGCAAACTTTTGCAGAGGAACTTCTGCAATATTTCACATCTTTTTTACCTGAGAAAAGGTGAGAGTCATATTCGTTATCTGGCCTTTAAATTGTGAGAACTGTGCCCTGTTTGAAGTATTGTTAAAGAATTAAGGTATGAAATTAAGCACATTACTCGTTTGTTTCTTTGTTATAATTTATTTATGAGTTTGAACAGTTCTTTGCCTCCAGTTTCAAATACATTGGTGTAATAAAGCTTGAAGTAAAGTCATTTTGTGTGATATAAGATTTTTTTTCCTGATGGAAGCAGTATTGCAGCTTCTTTTTTCAGCTTTAAAGCTGGTTAACACATTTTTTCTGTCTGTGATTTTCCCGTTTGGGGCATTTCCGTTGAATGTAACTAAGTAAAGCCAAAAGACCCTAAATGGAGACAGACATTAACTTTACCATAATTTTCGGACTATAAGCCGCGACTTTTTCCCTATTTTTCGACCATTTTTCGACCTTGCGGCTTATATAACAATGCGGCTTATGTATGGACTTTTACAGCTAACGGTAATACCTAAATCTATGGATTTTACCATCCACCATGTTGACGTCACATTTGCTTCAACACACAAGTAGCCGCGCGCGTGGGAATGCGGACGTCCTCCAGAAGCAGACTCCGAGAAAGACGATCATTCAGAGCGCAAGACAGTTTGTCATTATGGAAAACAAACGTTGAAATGCATATGATTCAGCTTTTAAGTTAAAGGCAGACAATTTGCCAGTAAACGAAGGAAATAGAACCGCTGCACGTAACCTTGGAATCAACGAGTCAATTGTGAGACTTTGGAGATGCCAGCAGGAAGAATTGTCTCTATTCAATTGTGTTGAAATGTTAATAAATAGGAGCTTCCCCAAACAGTTGCCTCTTTCTCGACAATCCTCTCTGTGTACGAACCATATGGTAATTAAACATAAAAAACCTGTGGCTTATAGTCCGGTGCAGCTTGTATATGTACAAATCATGCAATTTAGCTTCTGTGGCTTATATTCAGGTGCGGCTTATAGTCCGAAAATTATATATATATATATATATATATATAAAACCCCACTTAGATCTTTGTGGTTGGTACATTTCAACTCCTCTCTTGCGCTTTCCAGGTTTTTGGTGGACTACGATGAGCTATTTCCCATCGCAGACGACGTCAGCCTCCTACAACAAGCTCTACCTGTCATGTATCCCTTATTGCTTAAGGCAGCGTTTCCAGATGTTTGGCTGAAAACTTGATCTAGATGTTATGTTTAGATCAATATATGCTTTCAGCTTTGGTGATATACAAGAGTTTGTCTGCCTAAGCTGCAGTTTTAAGTCACAAACATACTCCCGGATTCAGTTTGTTTTCTTCTTTAACTGCCGACTCCCTCAGTGATGAGACAAGGACGTCTTATTTACTCCAGGGGGTTGAAAGTGCCTGGGACAGCATGGGTCGACAAAGACCGCTGGGCCACATCCAGAGCGAGGGCGTTTCTTTAATGTCGGCCAATCAGGGAGCAGCAGGTGGAACTGCCGCCTCTTCAGACAGCTTCAGGGCTCCAGAGCTCCAAGAATCAAGAGAAGGACAGAAGCTGAGAGGCGCTGAGGCTATGATGAACGTCCCACAGAAAGGAAACAACGTGAGCTCTTTGTTTATGGAGTGGAATGATATAATTAAACAAATGCAGTGTATTTGACTGCTGCAAATGAAGTCTTTTCAAATAATTATTGGTAAAAATCCTATTAGGCCGTCCATCAAGATGATAAAAACATGAGCGGCCATTATTTACTGCTTTGTGTTTGTGATAACAGAGCTGCCTCTCTTAAGGAGAATTGGAATAAGAAGACATTTGCGTTTTCAGGGTGCCGTGTGTCCTGTGAGCGGGCCGGAGCTGGAGTCTCTCCTGTCCTGCATCAGGGACCTGCTTCCTGACTTAGGTGAAGGCTTCCTGCTGGCGTGCCTGCAGGAATACGACTACAACTCTGAGCTGGTGATCAACAACATCCTAGAAGACCGCTTGGCCCCCAACCTGGAAAAACTGGATCGAGCTATGCCAAGGTAAGCACACTACCATAATATAATAACATCCACTAGGAGGCAGCAGCCAAACAAAATTTTGATAGATGCTTCAGCTATTGCTGAGTAACTGTATTGTGGTGTCAGCTATGAGGTTCTGTTGGATTTCTAAGCTTATTAAAAAATATATCTGTATTTTAAAAGAGCTGAAAAACTCAAAGAGCAGCTTTGAGGATCCTTAGGATGATTGGTTGGTCATGGCCATTTGAAATTCGTACAAGAAATTTGGGGAATCAAAAGTGACATAGAAAAGAAATAAGGGATGATTAAAGACAAAGCATGTAGACCATCTTTGTGTTTGAAATGTAGCTCTCTACATTTATAGGCCGGTGAAAGAGGAGCTTCCAGCTCTTCTGAACAACCGATCCAACGTGTTTGACGACGACGAGTTTGACGTCTTCCGCAGGGATCAGGTCGACATGTCCCGCATCTGGAAGGGCAGGAGGTAAAAAATAAAAAAGAAGCTCTTAAAAGAAGCTTCTATTCTGTGTGCTGTTGCTCTTTAATCTGAGGAGCACAGAGGATCAAACCAGCTTTTTTTTCTTTCCTTTATTTTTTTTGCTTATCTTACAGGAAAGGTGAGAATGCTCGAGAGATGCTGAACGACAAGCAGCACATAGCGGAGCAGCGAGATCGTTATCGGACTTATGAGACCGTGGTGGACGAAGTTGTCATCGAACCGGGAGAGTCCGGTGCCGTCGCCTACGACTTGGACGATTATGACGACGAGTACGACGACACCTACGACATGAACCAAGTTGGAGCAAACGATCTGGATGGAGACAGTTTACTGAACAGAAGGTATGCTCTTATATCTTGACATCCACCTATTCTATGCAGCTTTACTCTTTATTTAAAAGCTCTGATTCAACTGTAGGGATGAAGAATTTGACCAAAAATCAGTCATTGCATTAACCACAAGGCATGCCGACATTTCACTCCAGGTTTTGTGGTTTTCATGACCTTGAAAGCCTACTTGTCCAGAATCCATTGTTGGATAACATTCCTGTTAGAAGAATTAAATGTTTCCAAGTTATCCTTATTTTGATGGGATTCTTCAAATTAAGGACAATAAATTGTCCCAAAACATCATGCTGCCACCGTTATGTCTGACAGTTAACACATTGATTCTGGCTTTGAAGGTATCAAATAAACTCTTTCAAGCATATTTAGCCTTTGTTTCCAGACTCGTTTTAAATCTGAAGTCAAGGGGAAAAAAACAGAGCCGTGCTTGGAACAACCCGTTGAAAACAATGGCAGAGTGGTCAAATTGTTTATTCTGCAACTTGTGATGGGGAAATTAGTAGAGCTGTTGCAATATATTTTAGAAGTTTTCATTTTGTCTCTTTGTAGATGAGGATGATAACATTAATGTCCAAACTGAGTGTATATACGTTTCCTGCTGGAACGTCCTGAAACGGAAGGAAAAATATAGTGAATGTTTGATCGCTCTTTTCCTTCAGGCCTTTTACGATCCCACAGGTACTGAGAAAAGGAACCAAAGCAGAGGTTGAGGAGCAGGAACAGGACGAAGATGATGATGACGATGTTTCACAGGTACTTATGCCTTGATCCCTCCTTAAAGAAGTGCACCAAATCCCCTCATTTAATAACCTACAAATAACCAGGATTTAAAGCAACTGTTGGATATTGATGTAAAATGTGTAGATTTCAGTTCAGGTGAATCTTTAAGCAAATTGTGTCGTTTTAGCAATAAAAAACCCATGCAAGCATTTTAAAAGAGATTGGCTGTGACTGAAACGTATTTGAACAAGAGGGTATAGGTTGAAAATGATGCCTTCTAATAATTTTGTGGTATTTGTTATGCTTAAAAATAATGATCCTTAAAAAAAAAAAAAAAAATGTAGGCTTTAAAATATCCATGTCTGTATAGAGCTAGAACCCAACAAATACTTTCTATATGTCAAAAGACATAATTTGTTGGTTTATTTTGTTACAATAATGTAAGAAATGCTTTAATTACGATTATATAATCCTGATCTATGATATGAAGTAGGTAAACGGTGAGGATTATTATTTTACTGTAGTTTCTACCTTAAAATGCTACAGCTTTAAATAATAGATATATTTAAGTTTATAGAAAACCATCTCAATCCCTTAATAATCCAAAGAGCCATTTAAACCCTCCGTCCAGCTGAATAAACACTATTGAGACACTTCTGCAAAAAAGCTTACTTATATTTGATAAATATCCTCTATAGGAGATTTGTGTTCATTGCTAAAGGACCACTGTTGTAATTTAGTTTCTCAATAAAAAACAAAAACTTTGCAAAAAGAAGATGGAGATATATTTATTCTATCTTTGGATGAAGTTATGAAGAGCTATTAAGAAGGTCCATTAAGCCACTAGTTGCTTGTTTAGCAACCACCATTGCGAAGAACAAATTATGTTCCTTAACAACTTTCTCACTAAAGAGATGAGATTAGATAATTTTTGATTGATCTTCATAGTTCATGAAATCCCTGAAATTAAACTGATTATTAAATAGAACTGTTTAAAATGGTCCATCTGCCCCTTAGCAGGTAGAAACTTCCATCGTTTGTTGTATCTTTGTGTTGCAGAACAATGTGAACCGGGACCAGTTTGTGCAGGACCCGGCTCTGCTGAGGGAGAGGGCGGAGGCTAGACGAGCTGCCATGCAGCAGAAGAAAGGGTAAATCTTTCCTGTATTAATATAACCTTCTTTTTGGATTACGTCTGGGCGATTCTGGGCTTGGGCCTTTCAGAGCTTAGTGACAGTTTAAGACCAAAAAGATAAAATCCCTGGTTCCTCCCTTATCTTCCAGTTATCACCCAGAGCGTCCCGGTAATGTCGTGGGCCGACCCAAAGGACAAGGACAAACTCTGGAGACCTTCTTGGACCGACGCAAAAAGGAGGCCAATAAAAACCGAGTGGGCAACCACAACCGGCGCAGCATGGCAGACCGAAAGAGGAACAAAGGCATGATTCCCTCCTGACCTGAGTGAAGGTCCTGGTGGAAAGACTGAGAACCAGAGGAGGTCCGACTGACCGACTTGGTTCTGGTTTGATGTTGGTGCCGATCAGCCCTGAAGAAGCTGTGGAAGTCACCCCAAGTGTTTGGTAGTTCTCAAGAGGTTTCATTTTATTTTCACACCATCTTATAACAGTTTTAGCTTTACTTTACGTTAAAACTGCCAAGCAGCTTGTAGAAATATTTGGCAACAAACTCACCTGATTTAGTTGAGCACTGAAACTTGATTTTGATTTCGTTCACGGATATGTTCTAAATGTGAACCACCGACTGATCACAAAAAATGAGACCTTTATTTTGCCAAGTAACAAATGTTTATTATTACCATCCAAAGATATTAACAAATAGACATAGAGGGGATGAAGAGACAGCAGCTTTCTCTTCATCTGGAAGAACATTAACCAAACGATTGTGTGGATATGAGCTGAACCTGGTTAGCGTGTAACATGTCGGTGTGCCCTCCGGTTCTGCTCGCTGACAGGAGTCTGTTCCACAATGGTCTCACTGGAAGCACAGGCTGGAATACGGAGGAGATCCTGCATCATATTGCCATGCACATATTTTTTTTATATATAGCGAGCCCATCTATCTGTCAGAGGATTTTGTAACAAAGCAAATTATTACTATTTTGCAACTGACATGGCAAACAAAAAAAAGCAGATAATAAATAATGCAGTGGTTTTGACATCCTTCTAGTTTGACTCGTTTGTGAAAAAATGCATATATATATATATAAAAAAAAAAATGTCTTTGTAGTGAATTCTTCTGCAGCAGGTGAAATCAGAGTTTAGAGTCCTGCTAAACTTTGGACAAATCAGACCCTGCTAAATTATACCACCCTGCATGAAACACATTGATCCCATCAAGCATAAAGTGCCTGCCTGGTTAAAATGCAGCTTTTAGGAAGACTGTAAGCAGTGAACAGATGAAGAACCTCTGTATTCCACTGTTCAGGGAGCAGAAACCTCCCTGGACTGATTATTAGCGCTTTTAATTTAAGTGGATATTTGGTCAAATATCTGGCAAATATCTGCATATAAATATCACCAACAGGGGGCGTGCATAACTCATCAATGTCTCCTTACTGCACAGACTTTAACTCCTAAAGTTTACAGTGATGAGCAAGAATCTTCAGCCTGAAGTGATGCGTTCAGACACTGACACTCCTTAAAAACTTTTCAAATTCTTTGGATTTTAACTGCTGTTTCAGCTTCTTAACATAATTTTTTTTTAATATTTTAAATTCTTTTTGAATCTATGTAAAAGCAGTTAATAATACAGACCCATAGGGATTGTAATTTTTTCTTCCCAATTGCTTTTGGACATTTTTGGGCTAATTTTCAGAGCCTTTTCAGCTTCATCCCAGCGCTTATGCTGTGTTGCACAATGATGCTGTTATCTACTCTACTTAGTTCCAAATACCAGATTTTAAAGGTAAACTGCATGTCGTATTAAGATGCAGATTTTCTGCCTACAGCGTCACCTTAGTGGTCTTAAAACGCCTATTTACCTGTCAGTTTATTCTTCTAAAAATTTACCTCAGAGAAAGCAAATTCTTTTTCCTGCTGCTAAAATCCCTCCTTAGGTTGTTAGGCATTTGATCAGTGATAAAATACGTGAAAATGTCAAAGTTAAAAGAATAAATATAAAAATATGTTAATTTTTAAGAATTACAATTTAATATTAAATAAGTAGTGGTTAAAGGCTGTCAGGCAGCGATTGACCGCATGTCTTTCATCTCAACAAAAAGGAGAACTCTGTTTCACATCTTATGGTCTGTGTTCCCTCCATCCAACATTAGTCCATCCAGAAGTAACTGTTACCAACACCACTAACAGTCCATACTAACTTGTTTGGGCCTTTTTTTTTTTTTCCAGAGTGGAATGAGCAGACAACCAGATAGAAATATTTTGTATGTTATAATCCAAATGGGGTCAAAAATATGCTGTTCAGAAAGGCTGAGATAGTAGAACCCAAAGGAAAGTTTGGATAAATGTATAGCAGGTCACACTTGGTCCGTATGTTTTTTTTTTTTTTTGAGCCGTAAACAAGCTTCATGCCATTAACTGGACTTTCAAACAAACTTCACCCATCATTAAAGTATTACCGAGCCTGCTTCCTGGAAGCTGTCTTCATGTGTCAGCCAAGATTATCTATCTGATGATTAGAGATGAATTTAAAGGTGTTTCTTTTTCAATCCACCAACCTTTTGCAATGCAAGAGGACCACCAAGAGCAAGAAAGTACCATAGCATGACGTGACCCCCACCATGCTTCAAAGTTGCTACAGTTCTCACAGGTTGGAAACCCATCCACCAGCTCCTCCTTTCACATTTATTGTTGAGGTGAAGCTTATGTCCTGAACCTTTCATCTTGAGGTTGATTGAAAATGGCTTATTAGAAAGAATTTAATCTCATCTTGAACAGTTTGTTTTAAGGTGGCTATTTTCCAGGTGGAAACTGAGATGTGCTTCATCGTTGGTGGTGACACTAGAGTTCTCCTCGTTCTTAGTCTTTCTAGATCACCCTGATCCGGTTCCAAATAACTGATTGGGACAGTTTGGCTCATATTGTTTTAACCTAGAAATAATTAGTTTCTTCTATTGGGCACAGGTCCTATCAAAACTGCTTCCGCACAGAAATAATCAGGCCAACACTGAGCATATATGTGAAAAATTAGAATTCTTTTAGACTCTTTGGAAGATGGATTAGGAAACCAATCAATTTCTGTAATTTTTTCTTAAACTTGCTGACTGCACAATCTTTTTATGGGAGATTTAGCCCAAAATTAGTGACTTGTTCCAGTATGTTTAAGCAATATCAATAAGTTAATCTTTTCACTCTGGAAGAAAGACGTTCCATGATGTATGTAAACATCTGAACAGAAGTGCCCATTTTAAAGTATGGAAGGGAAATAAAAAGCACACAAAGTCAAGGTGATAACAGAATCAAAGCAGCCAACTGGGTCACTCTGATCGCCCAGGTGTTAACGTCCGTTTAGGAGCTAAGGAGAACAGCAACAGTCTGTCCATGAAGCAAATAAACACACAGAGGTTTTCTGTTTGTACACATTAAATGTTCACCAGTCTGGACTGAAACGACTCACATGATCACTTCTGGAAATAATCCCCACGTTTTTAAAGTAACAGACGTTCCCAGGGAGAGCACAACAGTATCATCACACTACTTCATGACACGACGTTTTCTACCGCCAGCTTGGATGAGGCCGATCAGCTGCTGCTTTAAGGTTGGATCTGCTGCCAGGCTGCGGAGCCGGAAGGAGGAAGAGTTGGGATGAGGTCAGTTTGGAGCGTATGCAGGAGGTGAAACGGCCGTTAACTGTCTCTGCAGACGCTGTCTGGAGACAGTTGGAGAGGAGGGGGAAAAAAAACGTTTAAAGCAAAGAAACGGATCACTCTCTGCTGACTAACTGGGAAGCGGCGGGAGCTCACTGAGGATGCTGCGTTTGCACAGAGGGCAGGTGTGCTGCAGTAGCAGCCAGGGGTCGATGCAATCCCTGTGGTACTCATGTAGACACGGCAGCACCCGCAGACACTAGGGTCGTAAAATACAATAAAACAGCAGTAAAACATGTAATTGATCTGAAAGTAGACAAGGACACCTGGATACCAACAGCAACTCACCTGGTTGTTGTTGAACGGCTCCAGGCAGACGGCACAGTTCTCCGCCTCTGTCTGCTGGGCCGGGTTGCACCAGGGTTTGGGCCGACGGTATGTTTTGGTTTTCAGAGACGACATTCTCTTCAGAATGTCCTGCTTGGGAAGAAGCTGTAGGCAAAAACAGCAGAAGAAAAAAATAAATCACATTTAATATACAAATATTACATTACAGAGGAACTATATCTGAACACAGACCAATACACTAAAAATAATAAAATCAATGTTAAAAATTTTTAAACAGCCTCAAAGGTTTGATTGGGAGCTTTTATTTAGATTTTTTTAAAACAAGGCATGTTAATTATCAGCTGAAATAAAACTGGCAGACTATTGGCATCAAATTCCATAATGCCAATTTAGCCAAATCCTTCGTAGTCGTAGTTCATACAAGCTGGGGACCTCCAAGGTATTCTGCCAGTACTGCACAACAGGATAGACTGGAAGGAACTTTAATATCCCCAGACATCTTGTAAACACCACAGGCCTTTGTGTATTTATGTTCTTCAATCACGTTAACTGAGCTTCAACCTTCAAAATATTAATAATAATCAATTGAGGAGCTAAGCAGTGAAAATGGGTCAGTGTTGTTCCAACCACTCGACCTATTCTGCCTAATTCACCTCAGTCTGCAGCAAAACAGTAGACGAACCATGGAGCAAGGATGTAACCAGATTAAATGCGAGTACCTCTGAGTTGTCGTTCAGCTGGTTGACCTGATACTGCCAGCGAGCCTGGACAATGACTCCGGTACAGAGGATCAGAGCCACCAGGAGGACGGTGTCCCACAGCTGCTGCAAGTACTTCTGGAACCCACAAGAAAAAACAAAAACCAAGAACATCTGAAACATTCTTCTCATATTTGCAAACAAATCCTCTGTCCTGTTTCACATAGAGATACCCGGGTTCCCTGAACCACCCTCAGACTGTGAATCAGACCACCGTTGTTATGGAAATGAAAGCAGGAGATGTTTGTGTTTGTCCTTCCTCCCCACCTGGACCTGAGAGTTGGTCTCTCCCGTGCAGATGACCCCCTGCCACTCTCCGTACACACCTCCCCTCGATCTGCCGCAGCTGGACCACAGGGTGAGCGTGGCTCCCTGCCCGAACACACAGCATCAGCCCGACATCTGTTCACTCACCACTAGAGGGTGCCAAGAACTGAGAAACACAGTCAGCCAGGAGGCTGAGGCTCACCAAGTTGTCCTGTAGGATCGTCTCATATGTGATTTTTGCCGTCGCCCGTAGACCCCTGCAATTAGAACAATAATAATAAATGAATCCTTGTTGGTCATACTACAGGTGTGAATGGAGACAGGAAGCATTGGCGACGCATGTGACTATTTAATGGATATTAAAAGTATAGTGGAGGATGTTCTTTTTCCGGGTGGATCATCAAAATAAGTGGTCCTCCCCGTTGTCAATCATTCTGGTGATATGTTTATGTAGGGCCGTCCTACGTGCTCGTCCCCATTTTCTGTGGTGAGTCTATATGAGTGATGCAAACAGCAACTTTTAAACAGAACGTACACAAGGAGAAATGGGCTTGTGCATGCTCTTGCACGCGTTTAGTAGTGCAAGAACCCTGTACCCGCTACAGGGTTCTGAATGTGCTTTTTTTTTTTTTTTTTTAAGCCGATTTATTCTAGTCCAAATTTAAGGAACCCTTCTTGGCCTGATGGGGGGTTGCAGAATGAAAAAACTCATTTAGCAGGATTAACAGATAAATTTGTGTCTCGTTTCAGTTTTCTACAATGGGATTGTGCCAAAACCAAACAAAGAGCATAAATACAACTCTTTGCATTTCTAAGGTTTGGCTTCTTAAGCATAAAAAAATCTTAATTCTCACCACATACGACCGTAAGGAGCGATCACACTCTGTGTAAGAGGAAGAAGCATTTAGCAAAAATACTAAACGGTGTGAGATGGATCTTTATCCAAAAGTCTTTACTCCGACGCCCTAAAATAAATTTGATACAAAAAACTGTCTTTAAAAGGCAGCTGATTAGTCCACCGATTCCACCTGTTCTGTAAAGGCCTCAGTATTTTATTTTTAGAAAACATTTAAGAGCAGACAGCATCAGTAGGACCAAGGAACACTATTAGTTAACTGAACAACATCTTGCATCATTACACGGCTGCTGTGGTGAGGCATGGTAGCAGCTGTATTATACTGTGGGGATGCAACAGCTGGTCAGAGTTGTTGGAAAGTAGAATTTTGGTAGAGAACCAAGCTCTATGTTTCTGGCAGGACAATCCCCACAAATGTGCAGATATAGCAACAAAGGAAACGTTTAGAACAAATCACCTTAATGTAGTAAAGTGGCCCAATCAAAGTCCAGGCCAGACACCTAAATAAAAATCTGGTAAGACTTGAAAACTGATCTTCACAGACTTTTATCTTTCCATATAGATTAAAGATGAAATGTTTTCAAAAGATAATCTGGCAAAAATGTTAGTTTCTACCTTTGCAAAGCTGGTGTTGTAAAGTCCAAGGGTCATTATATTTTTTTAAGACACTTTTATTTAAAAACATGACAGATATGCAGGACTGAGGCAAATTAAACCGGGCCGTTTCTGTAATAAAGAGACTTTTCTGTACCTTAGCAGAGCTCCAATCAGCTTGGTGACATTTTCCGATGTCTGGATCACTATGATGGGCTTGGAGAGAACCTGAGACAAATCCATCTAGAACACAAAGAGTCCGATTTTAAAAATATTTCAACTGAAACGAATCCGAAACAAACATGCCGGACGAAGGAAGCTGCAAAAAGTAGAAACGAAAACATCAGAGGAAGTCAGAACTAAAGTTGGGATAATTGGTTAGGGGTTCCTAAGGTTTTTTTTTTACCTCGCTGACTGTGTTCTGGTTGAGAGCCAAGATGATCAGTGCTGATGCTCCAAGGACCAAAGCCCGCTTCATCTTGTGCAAAAAAAAAAACCGAAAAAAAGATTTTAACAGGTCCGGTAAAAAGTAAACAATCCTCTAAAACTCCATGCGGAGTAACAATTGTGATTAAAACTTAAAAAGGAGATGGTGGCAATGTGTGCAGCTGCTCGTCTGTTTTTGTTGATGCTGGTTCTGAATCTGGTCATAAGATAAATGCATGTTTTCCTGGTTTATTATCTCTAAACATGTTGCTATAAACTAATGGTATTTTATCATGACAGACATTAAATGTGCATGAGCTTCTGTCAGGAAGTCTAACTCACTACGGCATCCCCCCGGGACATGATAAAGGAAGTAGATGGATAGTGAGACTGAACTTCCTGCCGACGCATGGTTACCGGCCATCAAATGGATGATTTATGAGAGCATTTACCTCAGAATCTGACACCACTGAGCTGGAATCAAGAACCAGCTCTTCTGGTAAATTATCGTGGATTTCCTCACCCTCCAAATTTTTCTTTGTGTCACTGAGACATGGTTCACTAGAGGTAAGGGACATTTTTTCAGACTTATGCCAGTGGATTGCTGCAAGGGAGAGAAGGTGAAACAACCACTATATAGAAAATAACTTCAAATATCAGTTTTTTTTGTCAGGAAGAAATTTCCAGGTTTGAACTAACCTTGTTTTAAGTGAGCTGTACAAACTTGGTTTTCTGTTTTGTCATGTGTTAAACCGCAGTGAGACCTAGTTTGACCTTGTTTGGTTGAATAGTTTTTTATTGTGTGTGTTTATGGTTTTGATTTATCTGCAGCACTTTTTTTTTTAGCCACTTTCTTGCGTTTAGGAGGTAAAAATAAGGCAAAGAGCCAAACCAAACTTTTCTTGAATTTAATTCCTACCTTATTGACCACTGCATCTGCAAACGACTCCTGGTTCCCAGTGGAGGCTTTGCTGTCATCCATCTCCATGGGTACAACCCCGATCCAAGGCTCCTGCTGGTTGCTGTTGTCCTCATCTCCTCCTCCGCTGCTTTGCTGCGTCTCATCATCTCGAACCTTGAGACAAAAACCCACACAATTTTGGTATCTGTCCTGCTTGAAAAAAATTCCAACAATGCTGAGACTTTGTATGGTTCCATTTTCTAAAAACCTGCTTTAACCCCTGCAGGGCTGGTGCATCATATCAAAGGCTGTCTAATGCACTGAACCAAAGTTGTGTTTTTTGGACTTTGAGAGGAAGCTGGAATAACCAGAGAGAACCAATGCATGCACTGAGATACCATCCAAACTCCACAAAGAAAGTCTCCTAACTGGACAACAAGGCAACAAAGCTAAAAACCTGCACCACAACACAGCTGATTGAGATTTCCTTTGCTTCAAATTATTAAAAGAAACACCTTATAAATGCAAAAAGCTCTGCGTGTTCTACCTTTAAGTCAACGTAAACTTCTTATTTAAAAAAATATAAAAAAAATATGGAAAACCTCATTGTGAATCTCATCCATAATTCTGTTTCACTCTAAGGACTTGCCAGTTTTTTTTTTAACTTTCTATTTTTCATGTTCTCCCCATCAATATACACTTTTAAAGAAATCGCTTCAGAAGCTTCGCAGAATGCTTGATCCTAGCTTGTTTACGGAAAGTTTAGTGGAAGGAAAAAGTGTGGTAGACAAGTAAATATGAACAGACCTATCAAAGACTTGAACTAAATCTTTTACATGCTTTTTATTTATTTATTTTTTAGCCACTCCTAAATAAGGGACAGTATAAGAAGTATCTTAGCCTTTTATTGGTCTTTGGTAACATTCTAATAGTGGAGAACCTACATTTCGGTTTCCATGAGCAATTGATCCAAAGGGCTGCAGCCAGAGTTTTTATGAAAATGAAAAAGAGAGATCATATCTCTCCTATCCTGGCTTCTCTTCATTGGCTTCCTGTTAAATCCAGAATAGAATTTAAAATCCTACTTATTACATATAAAGCCTCAAATGGCCAAGCTCCATCTTATATCAGAGATATAATTGTCCCTTATTTGCCTGACAGAGCACTTCGCTCTCAATCTGCAGGTTTACTAGTGGTCCATAGAATTAGTAAAAGTAGAATGGGAGGCAGATCTTTTAGTTATCAGCTCTTCTCCTGTGGAACCAACTACCAGTTTTAGTCTGTGAGGCAGACACCCTGTCTACTTTTAAGGCAAGGCTTACAACTTTCCTTTTTGATAAAGCTTATAGTTAGAGTCCTCAGGTTATCTTTAGCTAGCTCTATAGTTATGCTGCTATAGGCTTAGACTGCTGGATGACATAGGGAACCCTTTCTCATCATTCTGCTTTGTTCCATCTCTATTCTCCCACTCTGCAGTATTTGTTAGTTCAACCTCTAAAATTATGCACTATCTCCTTTTTCTCATAGTAGCTTCATCTTGTCTGTTCCTGTTTGGCTGTGACTCCATCCTGGAGAAAAATATCAGCTGTGCTGCTGCCATGTTGGGGTTTGGCCTGTTTTTCAGTGCAGTCCTGTTTCTCTGACTGTGACTAACTGTATGGGATCTCTTTCATCCTCTGACGTGGGAGCTAGCTTGAAGCTCGTCTGCCTGGCTGTGTATTTTCCTGGACGGGGCCGCCAGCAGAACTGGTTGAAATTTGTCTTTTGTATCTCTGCTTCTTTCTCTATGTCTGCTTCTGTCTCCTTGAACCCCAATCGGCCTCTGCAGATGGCAGCTCACGCTGAGCCTGATTCTGCTGGAGGTTTCTTCCTTTAAAAAGGAGTTTTTCCTTTCCACTGTCGCTACAAGCATGCTTGGTGTGAGGTGTGCTTTTGAGTCAATGAAGCTTTGTACCAGTCTTACTGTATGACCTGCTTGAATTGACTCTGTATAGTGCCTTGAGATGACATTTTTGTCATTTATATAAATAAACTGAATTGAAATGAGTTGGTATTAATCATAAAACTTAACTACCCTTTCTGATGAATTGATATATGAACTTCTCTTAGTTATAAAAGCAACTTATAGACATCCTGAATTTATTGAGCCTTGCTTGTATTAATTGCTTGTTTATTTACATGTACTATATTACCAATTCCACAGGAGAAAAACGCAATTATTATATATGACAAATAAAAACAAATGGTAATAATAAGGAAAACGATTAATCTGTGTACCCTGGTTAGATGCACTTGCAGATCTAAGGATGTGTCATCCAAATAAAAATATAAAAAATGACAGGAAGTCTCACCAACACCAGGTTCCCTTCCAGCTCCTCGTTTCTGCTCTCTGAGCTCCTGCTGCCTCTGCCGGACTCCACCACCTCCCCCCGGAGAAGGGCGCTTGCAGCGGGCTGCTGCTCCAGGAAAACCTCCACCAAAGCAAGCTGATCTGCGGCCACCAGCAGCCCGGGCCACCGCAGCAACAGCAGGAGGAGGAGGAGAAGCTGTGAAGGCAACCAAAGACAACACCGGCAAACCGAAACCATGGCAACTCCCCCCCCAAAAAACAGCAGGAAGCAACGATTAATGTATGAAACTCATCAGCTATCAGGCATTATGTCAGTAATCCTGTAGCCGATTATTTCTGTGCGTTAGCTCGCAGGCTTCTGATGTAAACAGGAAAAATTAGAAACTTCCGGCTGCAAACGAAAGAGGGGAGGGCTATTATCTTGTGTAACAGATTACCAGAGATCAACGGCAGGTTTGTAGAAAAAATGGTTTATATAAAAAAAATGTACATACACATTTAAAGCGAATGTTTCTATATATATATATATAAAAAATGTCTTTAAAATAAAAAAATATTTTTGTTTGTTGCGAAACGTGTTTTCACAATAAAATTGATGGCGATGACGCCTTTAACGTCAAAGAGAAATGTAAAATAAAGATAGTAATCTGAATACTTTTCCTTCTTGGTTTTAAAGCCCCAGTTCATTTAACGAAAAAAAAAAAAAAACTGCTTAAAAAGCATCAAATAAATAAATATAAATTAATATACATAGATAAATACATGTTTGGTGTTAAGCTGTAGAAACTTCAGTTATTTTTGTTTGTTTTTATTTTGTCATTGAAAAATTATATTTCAATGTGGGAGTGGTGGGTTTAAATAAATAGTAAAATTACATCAGGATGAATGAAACGATTGAAAAAAAAAAGTGTAAACAGGAAAACAAAAGCTTCAGATGCTATTTACCCCCTCAGGCATTTTGGGATCCTTTAAAGTAAAGTAGGATCCTTCTGATTTACTATTTCCTTGGACCCTTAGTAAATTTAAATGCAGTTATTAAGATTAAAAACAGAAGTCAAAACAGAGGCAATAAGCTTTCACATAAAAGGCAATGTTTGAAGACTTACTTTATCAGAACTTTTCAATGGCTCACTCAAAGTCTTGCTGCTCAGGTCTGATTAATATCATTTTTCATTTTACACCAAAGTAAAAACTATAATTAGTGCCCAATAGAGGTTATAGATTTAGCTTTGTTAATCATTTAGTTTGAGCAAAATCTTCATGGCAGGTTTAGGAAGCTGGTCACTCGATTTTTAAAGTTCTCTCTTTAATGAGGTCAGAATCTTTAATTTGTACCCTACAGTTTTTACTTTCTGTCTGATTTGTTTTGCCTTAGCGTTTTGTCACGATGACGTGCACAAAAGAATATAATTATTTTTAAAAGCGTATTACATGTTGACCTAAATAAGAGTTTTTTCACGTTTAGACCCCCATAGAGGCGGATCCTCCTTCCAGTGCGGAGTGACTCCTCCTGTTCTCTCGCAGATCTTTGGCAGAGTCAGACAGTTGAAGCGGTCTTGCAGCGGGCTATGAGCGTCTGACAGAGCGGTGTTTACATTTTTTCCTCCTCTGTTGCTTTATTTTCTATCTGCAGGCCGCGGTCAGCGGGAGTTAACAGGAATCTATAGCCTCACATGAGCATCAGGAAGCGTTGCCTGCCTGCTGCTGGTGAACTGCGTGTGTTGGTGGATTTGAGTGAAGAAGCGCAGCCTGTCTGTCTGTCAGGCAGCTTTAGGTCTCAGACATGAGCGGAAGAGTTGGAGATCTCAGTCCTAAGCAGACTGAGGCGCTGGAACAAGTAAGTTTTATTAGAAATAATAATAATAAAAAAACTATAAGAAACTCATAATGTTTACATATATGTTTTAATTACTTGCTTGTTTTAATTAATAACATTCAGGTGGTCTAATGGGAAAGCTTACCTGCACAGATGCACTGTTGTGCTCTTAGTTTTACAGAGTTTCTTCTAATTGTTTTCATCATTCCGGTTTCCAGAAAGGAAGGCTTTATAATAGGATGACATCGCAGAATGCATCGGCTATTAGGCAGCCATTGTAGAAAAAAAAAAAGGGGGAAAGGAAAGGTTTTAATTACAACATCCGATCAGAGACTCATATGTGAGAGCAGTTTGTGGATTAGATTCATTTCTTGTCTCATTTTGTCAGAATCCAAAACGTATTTTAACAATTTTGCTTATTGAAAATGTTTTTCTAGGAAGGGAAAAGATAGATGTGGTATTCAATCACAGCTGCAATGTGTTTGGGACATGCATATAATTTCTTTCATTTCTAGCCATGCCAGTTTGCATGGCTAGAAATGAAAGAAATTATATATATATATATATATATATATATATATATATATATATATATATATATATATATATGCTGGCGGGGAAAGCTTACATGTAGCACCATAACCAAGTGGCTGAAATAGTGTACAGGAACATCTCTGCAGAGTATGGAATGGAAACCCCAAGGTCAAAGTTGGATACACCTCCAAAGATGGTAGCGAATGATCAGGCAAAGATCCTGTGGGACTTACAGATTAAGACGGGCCGAAGGGTAATGGCAAACCAACCCGGAGGAAAGCCGTTGTGGTTGACATAGCAATACTAAGTGACTGCAACATTAGGGAAAAAAAGAATATGAAAAACTAGAGCAATACCAGGGGCTTAGAAAAGAGCTGGAGAAAACATGGATGGTCAAGGCATCAGTGGTACCCGTGGTCATTGGGGCCCTCGGGGTAGTGACCCCCAAACTGGTGGAATGGTTACAGCAGATCCCTGGAAATACATCAGACATCTCGGTCCAGAAGAGTGCGGTTCTAGGAACAGCAAAGATACTGAGCAGAACCCTCAAGCTTGCAGGCCTCTGGTAGAGGATTCGACCTTGGAGGAGAAAGGTGGGAAAGTGGGACAATCACTGTCCAGCTACAGATTCCCCATCAGATATTTATCTAGACTTTGACAAATCCATTAGAGGATTTCAACTCATAGCAGATTACAAGCTTTAGCTGAACCGGAATCATCCAAATCAGATGTGTTTAANGAAACCTAAAACCTAAAAACCAAAGGCTCACATTACCCTGTCCTGCTAGAAAAGTATCAAGTATGATGCTGCCTCTACCGTGTTTTCACATGTGAACGCTGTGCCTACAGAATATGATATAAAAAAGGATACACAAAAATGCAAACTTCAATAGAGGATTTTTTTTGTTAGTGTTTTTGTAAAGTAGTCACTTTCTCCTTAATTACCCATCAATGGAGGCCAGATTTTAGGAGTGAACCGAAAGGTAAATTAATTGAAGGATTTCCCACCCCAGCAGTCCATCCCTGCAGCTCCTCCAAAGGTACCTTTGGTGTTGGCTGCTCCTTGCTCTGATGCACTCTGTGCCGGCTGCATCAGTTTGGCTCTTACAGTTGTGACATTTTGTTTTCATTTTCAGATTTTGGATTAAACAGAGCCCGATCAAAGGATATGATACTGTTATATAACCCAACCCAGCTTATACTGTCTCCATACCTTTCTCCACAACCTGTTGTTTGTTACTGGATTGCATTTAGAGGTGTCAGAGTAAAGGGAGCTGGACACAACTTTCCATTCTTTTGTACAAATCAATTTGAATAAACATGGCAGTCTTCTTCCACCTGACAAGAAGTCAAACCTTCATTTTGGTCTATCCTGATGAAAACATGGAGTTTTGTTGTTTTGGTTTGACAAAAGAGGAAAACTGAAGACTCGTTCCAAGAGCCGGAAAAAAAAAAAAAAAGGGAAATAAAGTACTTTATAACAAACCACTCTAAAACCATTCAAAATTCTTAACTTATTATAATCTTGAGGTTTTCTGAATGAAGCTTTTCTAATAGAGACTACAGAAACACGATAGAGCTGCAGCATGTAGCACCACCTGTCAGACCTTTGTTACAGGTTAGTGGAGGTACGTGTGTGATGGACTTTATCAGTTCAGCCAGCGTTCAAACTTCAATGGTAGACTCAGCCCAACAGGCCAGTCCTGAAAAAACCCCCCACAGACATTTGAAGAGTAATTTCTATGCTTTACTTACTTTGCTTTCTGTAGAGGTTCTGCTCAGATGCATATCTTTTATTTGTTGCAGATCATGATAGAAATCTACCGTGACACCACAGCCCTTAGGTGCTTCTGTTGATTAGGGTCTGATGACTATTTAGGCCTTTTCTATTGCAGTGAACTCATTGTCATGTTGAAGGAACCCGTTTGATGTTATTTGAGCTTTATAGCTCAGAGCATTATCCTGCTGGAAGTAGAAACAGTACACTTTAGTCACAAAGGCATGGACAATGTAGTTGTCAATTGGTTGCAAAGTTAGAAAAAGTTTAACATAGATACAGTGTTTTTGCCAAAAGTTATAATCTGATATTTGTAGTTGAAATTCCAGTTCTGGTGAGCTTGGACCGCAGCATCGTCTTGGCCTTCTGCTGCCCTCTACTTTAAGGTTTATGCTGATGCTGGTTTTCTGCACACCTTTGCTGCCATCATTGTTGAAGCTACTGTTGCTTTTCTATCATCTCAAACCAGTCAACTGATTCACCTCTTCCCGTGTCTTTAAAGTGTATTTTCATTCTCAAAGTTGCTTATCATTGGATATTTATACAGTTTTTTGAAAATTCCTTGTAAACCTGACAGGCAGTTGTGGTTTAAAATCCCAGTGGGTTAGCAGTATCTTGTATCATGCTTCTAAGTTTTATTTTCCACTCATTCTGATTTTCAGTTTCAACCTCAGCTATTTGTTTTCACCTCATCTAAAGGACTGAAACAATTCAAATCATGCCATAGGAATTTCTGTATTAATTAAGCAATTATACAGGTGGTAATAATTAAGTGCCAAGTTAGGATAAAACCGTCCAGCTAGAAAGCAACCTGGAAAATGTTAGATTAAAAAGAAAACACCTGGCTCTTCTATCTAAGCCTGGAACCTCCATGACCTAACATGGAATTAGTGGAATTAAACTGATGGATTTATGTTTACGTTGGCTGGTTTCCAGGAACTAAAATAATCCATCATTTAGGGAGGTTGGTGAATCATAGATTCTGATTTCTGTTTCATCTTTGCATATTTTTGATTTGTAATAAGTTATCTGTTTGTGTTATAACACACAATAATCAAAGATAAAATACATAATCAGAGATTAAAGGGGATATAGCAGCCAAAAGAAAACATTTAGAAATACCAAACAAACAAAACTCTTTCATAAAGAATTTTTAAAGGCATTTGCTTTCTGTTTTATTTATAAAATAAACCGTATTAAACTTTTTGAACACTTAAAAAGCAAACAAGACACCCTAATGATAAGAGATT